TTCGTCATATTTACTCATTTACTAAAAACAGGATGTTTCATGAATTGCATGTCATCCTTGAGCAAGGGCCCTGCTGATCCTCTCTGTATCGCTCCAATTTTATTTAGTCTGTGTGCTGCCGGAGTGAACCCGAGGCTTGGTTCCACCTGGTGGGAAGTGTTTGATACGCTCTAGACCAGCGGTTCTCAACCTGTGGATGGCGACCCCTTTGGCGGTCGAACGTCCCTTTCACAGGGGTCGCCTAAGACCATCGGGAAACACATATACAATTACATATTGTTTTTGTAATTAATCACTATGCTTTAATTATGTTCAGTTTGTAACAATAAAAATACATCCTGCATATCAGATATTTACATGACGATTCCTAACAGTAGCAAAATTACAGTGATGAAGTAGCAATGAAAATAATGTTATGGTTGGGGGTCACCACAACAGGAGGAACTGTATCAAAGGGTCGCGGCATTAGGAAGGTTGAGAACCGCTGCTCTAGACCCTTTGCTACTTGCCCTTCAGAAAACGGGGGCAGTTTTGGGTGCTGCCGGCAGTGGGCCAGCGCCCTGTGACTTTCTGGTCGTCCCTTCTTCCGACTGCGCAGGTGGTGACTGGCTGTGGTTCCTTTCCTTGGTCATGACTGAGGCCCTGCCCCTCTACAGCTGGCGCCGCTCTCCTCTGATCGCTGGTTGCTCACCCAGTGGAGGCTGGGCGTGGACCTGGGATTTGCAGCAACGTTTAATAAACAGTGAAGAGGACAGTGCCCCGTATCTATGTATTTCCTCACATCCTGCCTCCATTGGCGCGCATATCAACTAGGGATCGTGTTTCTTGCGCCTGTGTCTTGAGGGTGGCTCCTGGTTTCAGACTCATTTATTTAATGTGATAAATGCCATAGTCGAGGTGTGTACTAGATGCCAAGAAACAGAATGCTGTGGGCACAGCAGGTACCAAACGACTGGCAGAACCTCAGGGCCTCTCCTGAAAGAGCTGCAATGTGAGGGTTCTGCCGGGGACAGGGCTGGGCTTGTGTTTCCTTAGGACCAGGGCTCCCCCTTTATGGGAAGCTACGGCCACTTGGCACCTACTGGTCTGAGATGTGGGCTGTGTAGTGTCATATATTGTTTTGTGACTGGTTTCCTTCCTGCTCTGTCCAGTCCTGTGAGACTCCATGCTGATCTTCTCTGCATCGTTCCCATTTTAGTATTTGTGCTCAAGGCTTGGCTCCTTTCAGGGGGAAGTATTTGATCCTCTCTAGACCCTTTGCTGCATGTCCTTCGGAACATGTGGGCAGAGGCCACACCTTGCTCTGGCACAGGGACGCCCCTCCTCATCCTTTTCCAGGCCTCTGCCTGGGTGGTCTCCTGGACATCTCAGTGGATGTCCCATGGACGATGAGCAGGTCACACCCAGGACTGCTGGCCGGTGGCCATCTGAGCCCAGAAGCCTCCAGACCAAAGTCTCCCACCCGCATGGTGTTGAGTCCGGGCTCCAGCTCTGTACCCACCCCACACCAGCCGGCCCTGCCTCACCCTCTAGGGCACTATACCTTCCGGAGTCCCGGAGCCGCCTCCTGGAGAAAGGCCCTGCCCTGGGGGAGGGGAGGATTAAGTGGGCTGGGTTGCTTGGCGTCCCAGAGCTCCCCCGTCACTGCCTCCCC